CTCTAACTCAACTTTTGCGAATAAAATAACAACACTTCTCCGCGATGCGGAGAGTACACGAAGTTCTCTGCCTACTGTTGACTCTCGTGAGTTAATTAAAGACCCCCTCTTCGCGACGCAGAGAGGATATGGCAATGCCTCGATCTTCTTTTCTTCCTCTTTCTTCCATGCTTCTTTTTTGCCTTTAATCTTCTGTGTTCCCCATTGTCCATTTTCGTGCTCGTTTCTCCTCTTAAGCTTACGTACACAACTAATCATGTTGGTTAGCTCATAAACAGACAAAAGACTCATTAAAACTATAAACGAACACCTATTGAATTCAAACTAAGCTTAAATGTGGGCATAATTAGCTTTCTAGCCATATAAATATGCCTAAGATCACTACCCCACACTTAAAGCTTTGTTCGTCCTCGAACAACTAACTAACTACTCCTAGAACTAGACTCACTACTATGGTATTTGTGCATCTGCTACTATCTTCCAAGGATCTGTACCCAGTTAACACAAGCATGTTTTTATTCAGAATATGCATGACTTCTGTAATTGACTTGACAAGTTTTAGCAACCAACGCATTCAACAATATGTGCACCATTACATATCACCTATCTTTCATGCAACAAGTGCCCATCACTCCAAAGAATAGTCCACACACTCAACTCAACAAATTGAATATCCTTTAAGGACTATGCAAACAAGGTACACTCTCACTCAACAACAACATCAAACATGTATGCACTGAAAACCATAAGCTTGCCCATTATTTATGTACATCTATACTAACAAAGTGTGTTATTCTCAAAATCAAACAGAACTTGTTCTGGTTGTAATGTAGGCTTAAGGTAAGGGAGGATTCGTTTAGATAGAATTAGTGACTTATCCTCCCTAATGCACCATTTTCAACTTTCCTCTTACATTCACAACTTTTTATTTTCGTTAGCCCCCTCCTTTTTCATACATTTCCACTAGTGTTACCAACCTAGCCTTTATTTACTATTTGCCCCTTTATTTTTTTTATTTTTTTTGACACTCAATAATAGCCACCTTTGCCTTAGAGATTTCTCTCAAGTTAAGGTGCACAATGCCCTTGTAAGGGCCAGGGCCATCATTAAGGTAAGCACTAAGTTAGCCACCTTCAACTTAGGTTTTTAACCTTAGTCAAAGTGCACAATGTCCCAAGGACTAGGGCCAATCTTACATTCATTCTCACGGGGTATACAATTACCTCCTCTTTTCATTCTTCCCCAACTAACTACACAATTCCACCATATTTACTCTTTCCACTATTTTCACTTGTCCTCCTAATACAGTGCATTAAGGATTTGGGATCAAAGCTAACAGTATCAATAAAAAGGGATTCGGCTTCATTATATGTGTTAGAACAAAATCAAGGCTAAAAAGGCTCAATTGGACTATCCTAGGGATATTCTTTCTAAACAGGCTACAACTCAAGACAATTCAAAGAAAGCATGTTACCATCTTTTAAGCAAAATAACACTTGTATTTCGCTTCAATAACAACCTAGGAAAGTTCTAGACTCAGATGCATTCATGGATATCATTCAAAACTCACCGCTCATGGCACAGGTTATATTCAGACTGGATTAGTCACATCACACAATCATATCCTGGACAAGGTTCAGATTAAGCTTAAGTTGCACATTCAAATCATATACAAGAATTCAACTGCATTCATATATCAATTTCAACCATGCTTTTCATACATATTCCTTTTAGACTTTCAGCTTCAGCACAACCAAACCTAAGACTCAATGACGAAATTGCCCTTAAGACGGTCGTCATCCATCTATCATTGGGCAGCTTGACTCAACCATGACAACAGACTCAATTCTATAAAGAAAAAATCTTTTTGTATTTTGTACGGTTCAAAGTGACTATCCTTGGCCAAAGAATCGAAAACAACCTCCAAGGAAGCCAAAATAGAACAAACCAAAGACACAACATACTCAAATAATGTTCAACACAATAGAAATATATGTACAGACCTGATATGTTTTTCACCCTTACCCCACACTTATACAATAGCACTGTCCCCAGTGCTTTACAAAAAAAAATCTGAATAGTTGATAAGGTAAGGTGAAAACACTCCCTGATTAGTCTTCCATCGCATCCCCCCTGTCGACCTCATCATCTGCCTATGCGGCGTCTATCTCCTCCTCAGAGTCAGAATCCACACCTGAGCCAGTACGCAGGTTCTCCTCATCAGTCAAAATATCAATCTCGATCGGCTCCCGAAACTCAGGACCAATGCCAAGTAGTGCCCTGGCATGGTCATTTAGAGGGTATCGCCTCTCGACTTCGCCTACATCCATATTAGTAGAAGCATGGCAGCCATTCTGGTTCCTTAGCATCTCTAGGCCGTACATCCTCGCCATGATAAGCTCATCTCTCCTATGGTGCTCGGCCATGGTGATAGTTGGGCCAAACTCAGTATAAGGCCCCTTGGTCTGAGTAATGTCCACCGATGCTGGATATAGAGGAGCCATGTAGTCCAACTGTTCTTTAGGGACACCTGCAATACGACACATCTTGGTAATCAGACCACCAAAAGCATACATGTGCCCTTTGTGAACCCGGACCTTTCGCATAGCAGACTTCACAATGGCTCTGATGTTCTGCTTCGTGCCAATCATCAAGGCATATACCAAGCACACTCTATCACGAGTAATGTCGGTGTAGTGTAATCCTTGTATCAGACAATTAATCACAACTTTCAACTAAATGCGTGTATCCCGAAGCATATGAGCGTAGGGAAGAGATTGGTGATACCTCTTCCCACTATGTTTCGTCCATTGAGCCCTGGACTATGGCCCGCACAGAGTGTGGCAGATGGCCTGGTATGGAGGAGTATGATCAGCCCTGTCAGCACTAGTAGGTCTGTGTCCTACGGAGTACCCAATATATCATTTATACTTGTGGGTGTGATGGGTACATTCCTTCCTCTCACCATCACATAATGGAATCTGGCTTCAGGCGCCCAGTTGGCGTAAAACTCCCGGACGATGTGCAAGTTGCACTCCTTCGGTTTAGCAAAGATGAACTCTCTACCTAGCTCCCTAATCCACCTCAGGATCTGTCGGAACTCACGTGCCAGACTGCCCCTATCGATACACAGATCCGAGAAATAGGAAGCCTCGGTGTGTTTCTTATACCAAGCCTTCCGTTCTTTGGTTACAGCCTTAGCTCCAAATCACCTAGTTTGGCCTCTTGGGACCGCAGGTGCTAGTGGAATATTCCCACTTTGGGAACGTTTCTTCTGGCTTGGCGTGGCTACTTCTTTGTCGGATTTTCTTGAACTTGACATGATGACCTGCAAACATATAGACAAAGGTCAGTCCCAATGACTACAAAATAATGAGAAAAATATGGGTGGTGCGTGCACACCACCCCACAGTTAGTTCAATGCAGTCTCATCTTAGGTACTCAGACCTCCCAAAAATGACCAACAACATACTTAAGTAATTACCAAGTTCATCAAACCGGATAGGCATCACAACATTAGTTACAACCTTGCAATGATTAAGTAGTGTTACTCAAGACTTCACAGAAACAAGATAGACCCCTGAATACACACTATCACCCAGCCAACATCGCCTAGCAACAATATTCCTTCACGCACTGTTTTCCAAAAAAGTATCTACTCAAGAATTTGACACTATAGGTATCCAATTTTTAAGGAGAGCATCTTTAAGTACATATTAGACCTTCACTAGTAGAGGCATTCAAACCCCCATACTACCTCCAAATTCAAGCAAACTAACTCAATTCACTTCAAACTCTACATCAATCATTACCCATTCAGACAACAATCTGTCACAAGCATGCATAACCCACATATCTTTACCCCATGCTAGAACAACAACAATGAACATTAAGTGATTTTTACTCAAGAATTCGAAATCACCTATAACCACAATATCGCCCAACGCATCAACATACGATTAACCAAGGCACATAGACTGAGATCGAGCATAACCCAGAAACAAAATTGACAAACATTCCCACATACTATACCCTATCAATTCAACCCAAAAATCATGCAACAATGTATTTCTACTCAGACTTCGAAACACACATAGACCAACATGAAACACATGATATTGACAACAGAAAACACACTTCCCAAATCCCCAAAAGTCGAGCAACCAACAACCCATGGCAAGACATCTTCAACCTTTCCCAGAATCGCAAGAAAAAAACAAGAGAACATACCTGGTGACGCGGAGTTGCAGAAAAATAGAGAAGAGCAAGGAGGGTGTAGTTGTGCGACACAGAACTACTTGAAGAAATCGCAGGGGTGAAGGGAAGGGAGAAAATCGTGGTGAATATAGTGAAAAGGGAAAACGATGGGCGAATTAGGGGGAGATATTGGGGTTAAAAGGGTTGGGGTTGGGTATTTTACAAAGAAAATGGGTAAAACCCGGTTATTTAATGAAAAATGAAAATTACTTACCTGGGGCGCGACGCGGGGTGGGCAAGGAGTCCACTGGAAATTTAATTCCAAGCGAGGCCAATATTTGGCCCTTGTTCCGCGTCGCGGGGCTAGCATGGTCTTGCCTTCTTTTTGACGTAAAAGTAACTTACCGTCGAAATTGAAATTCTAGGCCCCCTCCGCGCCGTGCCCAGTACACAGAGTCCTCTACCTCAAATGGTATCAGGCGAGGCAAAATTTTACCCCGCCTCTGTGACGCGCTCCCTACACGAATTTGCCTTGGGTGAAATTTCTTCATCCTGCATATTATCAGCTCATCACCCATTAGTAAAAACATGATGGGTTCCCTCCCATCTAGCGCCTTAGTTTTGGTCGTGTCACGACGTATATTTTTTTATTTATCTAAATATATCAATTTTTATTTTTTTTCTAATTCCTAAGAACTAAAATAACAAAACAAAATCAAATAAAGCATATCTATTACAAGGGGTCATGGGTTGCCTCCCGTGTAGGGCCTTTTTTAACGTCGTGGCACGACTAATCTCAAGACTCATTCATCATTCAATGTGAGTGCTTCAAGCTCACAATCCACATCATTCCTGAAATAGTGCTTGACCTTTTGACGATTCACAAGGAAAGTACAGCTCTTATCCTTGTTTCTTAACTCCACTGTACCATGTTGGGTCATCCTCACTACTTCGAAAGGACCACTCCACTTAGATTGAAGCTTTCCGGGGACCAACTTCAACCTTGAATTGAATAGCAGCACTAGTTGACCAGGCTCAAAGGTGCGCGACACAATATGCTTGTCATGCCACCTCTTGGTCTTCTCTTTATACATCCTAGAATTTTCATAGGCGTGGAGCCTAAATTCTTCCAACTCATGTAGCTGTGTTATTCTTTTCCTACCGGCTAACTCAGCATCCAGATTTAGCTTCTTGATTGCCCAACATGCTTTATGCTCCAATTCAGCTGGTAGGTGACAAGCTTTCCCAAACACCATTCGATAAGGAGAAGTCCCTATCAGTGTCTTGTATGCAGTCTGGTATGCCCACATGCCATCATCTAGCTTGTCAGCCCAATCTTTTCTTTGGGCATTCACAGTATTTTGGAGGATCTATTTGACCTCCCTATTCGACACTTCCACCTGCCCACTAGTTTGGGGATGATATGTTGTAGCCACTTTGTGTCTCACTCCATATTTGTCAAACAAATTATGCACTGAATTATTAATAAAGTGCGTATCTCCATCACTGATCATAGCCCTTGGAGTTCCGAACCTAGTGAAGATGTGTTTTCAGATGAACTTCACAACCACTTTTGCATCATTGGATAGTAGTGCAACTGCCTCCACCCACCCACCTAGACATGTAGTCCACTGCGACTACGATGTATTGATTACCACGGGACGATGGGAATGGTCCCATAAATTTTATCCCCCAGACATCAAAGATCTCAACCTCCAGTATATTGCTTAATGGCATCTCATGCCTCCTTGGAATGGTGCCCATTCTCTGACAGTGATCACAACCTTTCACAAACAAAGCAACGTCTTTAAACGGAGTAGGCCAAAAGAAACAAGATTGCAATACCTTATGCGCAGTTCGTTCGCCTATGTGGTGTCCACCATATGGTGAAGAGTGAAAACTCTCCAACACTTGTGTCGCCTCCTACTCAGCTATACACCTTCTCATAATCTGATTAGGTCCGTGCTTGAATAAGAACGACTCATCCCATATATAGAAGCGTGCATCATACTTCAGCCTCTACTTTTGATATATTAAGGCCCCAGGTGGAAATAAATCACTCACCAGAAAATTCACAATATCAGCATACCAAGGCACTTGAGCAATGTCCAAAGCAAGCAATTGCTTATCAGGAAACTCTTCATGAATTTGCCCCTTATTCTTCACATGATTTTAATCCTCCAGTCTAGACCGATGATCAGCTATCTGGTTCTCAGGTCTCTTCCTGTCCCCTATCTCAAGATCAAACTCTTGTAGTAGCAGAATCCACCTAATCAGCCTCGGCTTGACATCCTTCTTGTTAAACGAATATCGGATTGCAGCAAGATCAGTGTAGACTATAACTTTGGTTCCCACCAAGTATGATCTAAACTTATCAAATGTGAACACTAATGCCAGCATCTCATTTTCAGTCACAGTGTAATTCGATTGAGCTGCATCAAGTGTCTTGCTCGCATAGTAGATGGAATGGAACATCTTCTCTTTTCTCTGCCCAAGTACTACCCCAACCGCTATGTAACTGGCATCACACATAAGCTCAAATGGAAGCTCCCAATTTGGAGCAATCAGAATAGGAGCTTCAATCAACTTTTTTTCAGCAGCTCAAATGTCTGCAAACACTTTTCATCAAACACAAACTTCATCTCTTTCTCTAACAGGTTGCACATAGGTCTTGCATTCTTAGAGAAGTCCTTGATAAACCTCCTGTAAAACCCAGCATGTCCAGGAAGCTTCTAACTCCCTTAACTGTGATGGGAGGTGGTAGCTTCTCAATAACTTCCACTTTAGCCTTGTCAACTTCCAGCCCACTTTTGGAGATTTTGATCCCTAACACAATGTCTTCTCGAACTAGGAAGTGACATTCTCCTAGTTTAGCACCAGATTTGTTTCTTCACACCTGACAAGAACTCTATCAAGATTAGTCAAGCAATGTTCAAAAGACTCACCAAACACCGAGAAGTCATACATGAACACTTCAAAAAAGTCCTCCACCATATCATGGAAGATTGCCATCATAAATCTCTGAAATGTGGCTGGGGGTATTGCACAAGACGAATGGCATGCGCTTGAAAGCATACGTGCCATATGGGCGAGTGAATGTAGTCTTATCCTGATCTTCTGGTGCAATGACGATCTAATTATACCCTTAATAACCATCAAGGAAACAATATTATTCCCGACCTGCTAGCCTATCCAACATTTGATCAATGAAAGGTACCAGATAATGGTCCTTTCTGGTGGCGTCATTCAACTTTCTGTAGTCCATGCAAATCCACCACCCAGTCACTGTTCTTGTGGGGATTAACTCATTCTTCTCATTTGTTACCACCATTATTCCACCCTTCTTGGGCACACACTATCAGCCATAACACATCCTATATAACACCCTCAGGCATAACTACAAATCTATCAGCCAACTGTCAGATAATGGTAGTAGGTTTAGGACTACCCAAACCCAGTTTTTTGTACAAAGAAGTCAGCATCAAATTTATACTAGCTCCTAGATCACACAAGCCTCACGCATGAATGCTCTGCCCTATAGTGATCTGAACCGTAAAGCTACCCGGAGCTTTCAGTTTAGTGGGCAACTTATTTTTTATTCTGGAGCTGCACTCTTCAGTAAGTGCAACAGTCTCATACTCTGTCAGCCTCCATTTATTTGCCACAATCTTCTTCATATATTTCCCATACCTGGGTAAACCCTGCAAAACATCTAACAATGGCAAGTTAATGTGAACTTGTTTCAGAAGAGAGAGAAACTTACCAAAACATTCATCCTCCTTCTGTTTCTTGAACTTCAGAGGAAATAGAGGAGGTGGTTTCACAATTGGTTGCACTTTTTGTTATTGTGCAACAATTTCTCCCTCCTTAGGTTCACTCTCTTTACTCACAACATCAGTGTTTCTTTTCTTAGGAGCTAACTCCTCCAATTGTAAACCACTGCGTGTACCTACCGCGTTTACCTGCTTAGGATTGGGATCAGTATTTCCCGGCAAACCTCCTTGCGGTCATGAGTTTTGGGCACTAGCAAACTGCCCGAATTGCTTCTCCAGATTTTGTGTAGCCAACTGCTTATTCCTTACATCAGCAGATAACTAGGCTTGATCAGCAATGATCTTTTTCAGCATCTCCACCATGCTCATGTTGTCAGATTGCTTGTTCGGCTGCTCCCGTTGGGGCTGCGGTTGGTATCTCTATGTATTTCCTTGCGGTCTATATTGATTCTGGCCTTGACCCTGATATAGATATCCACCCCAAGAAAAGTTTGGGTGGTTGCGCCAACTTAGGTTATATGAGTTCCCATAATTTTGCTGGCCTCCTCCTCGTTGGGCATTGCCTTCAAAATTCACAAAGTTCGGGTTTGCACCACATACCCTGCACTATGATCACCACCTCCGCAGATCTCACACGAAGATGGTGGTTGTTGAACTACATTTACCTGTGCGGGCTGTTGTCCCAATGCTAGATTGGTGAAGTGAGTGTTCATCATATTCTGCATAGCAGCAATCTGTGCAGTCAAGGCCGTCACAACATCTACCTCTAACATACCTGTAGTTTTCTGAATCACAGGTTTCATTCCTCCTCCATTCCATTCCGGGTTTCCCTGAGAGATTCTGTTCAGCAAGTTGAATAGTTCAGCATATGTCTTATTCAAAGCCTGACCACCTGCAGCTGAATCAAGTAGAATCTTGGTGTTAGGCTCCAATCCTTCATTGAAGGTATGGACCAACACCTCATTAGATTGATGATGATGAGGGCAGCTCATCAACATCGATTTAAATTTGTCCCAAGCTTGGTACAAGTTTTCGCCCACTTTCTGCCTAAAGCTCAAATTGTCACTCCTCAACTTAGCTGTTTTTCCAGATGAAAAAAATTGGATGAGGAACTTCTGTGCTAGATCATTCCAAGTGGTAATTTAGTTTGCAGGCTCTGAGTGTAACCATCTTTTTGCTTCCCCAAGCAGAGAAAAAGGGAATAAAGTGAGTCTCACATAATCCACATTAACTCCAACTGGAGTGTACGTATCACTGATCTCGAGGAAATTCTGAATGTGAACTGTTGGATCCTCGTGCGGCAGACCAGTGAACTGCCCATTAGCGTGCAGTAGTTGCACCATACTCTGCTTCAATTCAAACCTCCCACCAGCTTCAAGTTTCTGAATACAATATGTCACATTGGTGGGGCATGGGATTGCCACGTCTCGTACTCTCAACGCAGCAGGTTCTTCCTCCTTAACTCTTGCTGCTGGAAATGTTGGTTCACTAGCAACAAGAGGGACGGATAAGTAAGTCATCTTAGCCTTCTCCGGTAATGTATGAATTTTCCGGTTCCGCTAGAGGCGATACTAATCCTTGATCGTTGTACAGTTTGAAACAACAATACAACCTGCGACAATAATATGGTAAGATCAAGTTGTCAACACTTGCTTTTTACTTCAAAATTTCTAATTCTAAATTCCCCGACATCGGCACCAAAAACTTGTTGCGTCCAAATTGCACACGCAAGTGCACGTGGTCGTTCAAGTATTAAAGTGGCTCTTTTTAAGAGTCGGGTATTGAACCCATAGGGACTTACGCTTAGAATTACTTAACATCCCTAACTTTCAGCTAAACACAAGGGTATTCAAGATTTCCAAAGTGATTTAGTTTCTACTTCTAAGAATATAAAAAATGTAACAAAAGAGATTCAATTTCAAGGGTTTAAAAATAGTGATTGGGTAAAGTCCAGGACTGTATCTTTTATCAGGATTCATGCAATCAATATCAGTCATATGGGCATTTATCAATTTTCGAATCAATGAATCAGAGGGTTAAATGTGTGATCATGGTCTCCCGACCTCTAATCGCCTACGATAAATAACACCCTAACTACATCATTGAGTGGGGATACGATGGATTAAGTACCGAGCATTATGATTTCTTCTTCTATGGTGACACAAGCATGGTTTCTAGGTATATCCCTATCCTAGATACAAATTAACCCTAGTTATTTAGAATTAAGCATGCTCCTTATTCCCTACGTTCTATCCTCTTATTATTCTCCCGAGTTAAGTTTGGACAATAATTTTATTTCAATGGTGATCAGTCACAAAATACAAAAAGCAAGAACATAAGAAAGATTCATATGATAATTGACATTAACCCAATAACAAATCAATAGATTACAATCATCATGTAGCCACAGCCCTAGAACTAGGGTATTTAGCTACTCATAATCCAAGAATCGATCAAGCAATGTTCAAATAACATACAAAGATCGAAAGGAAAAGAGTTTAGGAAAGAACCCTAAAAATGGTGAAAACATTCTCCCA